ATCATTGACAGGTATATGAGTTGGCGATGCTTTGGGATAGTGTAAGGAAATGGGTATTGACAGCAATATATCCGTAATAACTATAACCCAATTAATGATTTGTTTCAAATGGTTAAATAGTTTTCATAGTAAAATCATGCCTTCATTTCATAGCAAATCATTGATTTATTATGTATTGTTTTTCATTAACGTAAAAATTGTGATTAATTTTGAATTGACCCAAACATTGTTCACTAAATTAATTTTAAACACTATTTAAATTAATTTGTTAGTTACGTTAGTTAACTCTCTTATAAAGTTATTTATTATTGATTATTATTATTATTATAGATTAGAATGAAATTTACAGCTAATTTATTAAATATATACATTGTATGGTTAATTATTTTAGCTTATGGTTAAAAGTAAGTAATTTTATAAAATTCAATTTAATTATAAATTAAAAACATAGGTTATTTTAAATTTCAATAAAATATATTTAAAGTTATTGTTAAAAGTATGCGATTACTAATATCGTGCGCAGATTAGGAAATTAAACAATTTTATGCTAAACTTTTATATCAATTGCAAACATTTAAACATTTACAATAACTTTGAATGAAATTCAAATAATTTTCACATTTACGGTATTATGTAATTAAAGATTGTATTTACCTAAAGTACTTGCGAACTAAAAGTGTGATAAAATTCATAAATTGTTTTGGGAATACTATTATATTTGTCGACCACTTATAAGCAAACCTAAACAGCAATTCATTTATGTCCAAACAAATTGAAACATCACTTCAAAACTGATTAATAAATTGCATTCACGAGTGGTTTCTATTTTAATTAATTAATCCACTTTTCCATACTCTTTATGTCAGAAAGTAATACTTTTCCCACATTTTTGTAACACTTTATTCAGGAATCACTTAAACGTAAAGATTATTTCCTATTAGGATCTCAACAAGAGATGCATTAAAATCTCAATCAAATAAAAAATGTTATCAATTATAAAGTATATAATATTTACATTCAATTTTCCGATCGCTTTATTCGGGATACTTATGATAATAGTGTCGACATATCATTGGTCTGAGACCTGGTATTATCTGCAGCCGACACAAGTGGGCCAGTATTGCATCAACGGCTTCATCGCGTTAACAATTGTGGGCTCCGTTACCGTCATATTTGGGATCATCGGTTGCTGTGGTATTGTTCGCGAATCCGTATTTCTGCTCCGGATATACATTACCCTATCGTTGATGGTATGCGTGCTGTGCGGGGCGTCCATCGCGTGGACGGCCACCACAGACAGCCATACCGTACAACAGAGTATACAACAGGCTGTGAGCCGAGTCAACGAAACCCATTACGACACCAACGCTATCAAAATACTGATCCACAGAATACAGACAGACTTCAAGTGTTGCGGAGCGCTCGGACCCGAAGACTGGATCCACAGCAACGCCTCATCCAATTTGGCCGCTCTTATACATAGCCGAGGAAAGCCGTCGACGCCTACTATCAATCGGCAGATGTTTAAAACGTGTTGCGCCACTAAACCATCCGTTTGTCAGTATTGGACACAACGTATTGATAGTCTGACTGCTTTGAACGGATTGTCCGACGGTGTCATCCATAAGAGCGGATGTGTTGTCAAACTCGAAACCTTTGTCGGACAGAAGAGACTATGGATTTTGGTCTCGACAACCATACTGTTTAACATACAGTTGATTGCATTGACAATGGCTTTGATATTGTATTTTACGCTTTTCATAAAACCAAGAAATGTTTAAAATTAATTCAATTATAAATACTCTGTTATTAAAGTCAAAACAGAGTAAACACTGTGTACTGTATATACAATAAATATATTAAATGATTTACTCATTAGAAGTAATCCATAATTGAATTAAATAAATATTTTATTCAATAGTTTGTAAATAAATAGAAATGAGAAAAATAATGAGAATTTTTACTAAATAACTAAACTAGAAATTTGCGATCAGAAGTGCGGCCGAAAACAGTGAATAAATAAATGAATTTGCGGGCAATTGAGTGCATAATCGGCGCACAGATGATAACGTTTTGGTCACAAACGGGTGTTTGTCACTCAAGTCAATGGTCGGTGAGGTCTCTATGCCATTGGCTTTAATATATTTAGCCAACGATTCTATGCTGACGGGCGGCACGTATTCCCTCTCGTCTTCCCTTCGCCACCAGTTCTTTGCGTTTTTGCCTTTAAATACAAACAACAAAACAATTAATTAAAATAACTATTAAAACAATTAAATGCAATTCATTTCACTTAATACCTGTGTATCGATATGTAAACAAACGAATCCTAACAAATTTGGGCGCCTTTTTAAACGGCAGTTGGCTTTTGTCCAACAGATCCAACACTTCCGGCTGCGCTGTCAACAAACGATAGCACAGATTCATAAGCCATGGATTGTTTTGATAGCTATCGAGCGCCGCGAACCACATCTGCCAATCCAATCGCGGCTGATGTGGGACTGAACGACACAAACAAAACATTTCATTAATAAAAGACATTCAAAAATAATTTGTCAATTAATTTACCAATAAATTTGGGCGCTTTAGTCATATCTCCCGGTTTATGAAGGAAATGATAGGCTTTCCAACCGCCGGCTGAAGCCATATCATTGCTGCCTTCAATCACCAGTTCTGGTCTACCGTTAAGGCCAGTCATATGCCTGAAGAGGCCGTAACTGTTTGCGACCGGAAACCTGTCGACCGACTTATGCCACCGATTAATGACAGGCCAGAGACGGACCGAATGGGTCGGATCGACGCTCACGTGTGGCACAAGTGATACGCAAAACATAAACACAACGGCACTCGTGTATAGAGTGGTGTAGAATAGGTTCACAACTCGAGTCAAACCACTTGTCGGCAAAATAAGGCATCTGTTGTGAGAGACAAGTGTTTGTATTGTGTTTTTAGTGGGAAAATGTGTTTTCAAACAAATATAACAACAAAAACTCTTTCATTAAACACAGACCTCGAGAAAGCCATCAATACATTGGAAACGAGAGAAAGTGTGGCCAACGATATGGAGACGGGAAGCGCCCAAAGGATAAATTGGTTCAATTGATTGTTATCGAAACCAACGCTCGTCGACAGCCCACCGGAGCTCCAGTTAATGTTAAACAAGTGTATTGTCCAATACATGAGCCCAAAGTATGCGAAACCAGTGATCACTTTGCGGATCAGTTTAGGCATTAGAAATCTTCGCTTTAGACCGCTGTTGGCGCCCGTATTAGCGGATACAACGGTGGTCTTCACGTGAGAGTCGTTAAGTATGGATAGGCAGAGAACGGTTGTCAACAAATTGAAAAAATTGTAATTTCCCGTCAAAATGATTGCCAATTGAAATATCACCTAAAAATCAATACACAAACAGACAATGAATGTCACAGAATTGCAGAGAGAGAGAGAGAGAGAGAGAGAGAGAGAGAGTAATTTTCAATTTCCTATTCACTGACTTTGAAAATGTATTGTTATTTTATGACATTTCATGAGAGAGAGAGAGAGAGAGAGAGAGAGAGACGACTCACTTGCATAACAAACGCAAATATTCTTAGATTCTTGATTGGGATGAAGAAGAGAAAGGGAACCGCGATTTCGATGACATAAGTCATGACAACTGACAACCGGAGTAAAGAGGACGGAAAGTGGTGGACAAACCACGCGAATGGTGTGGGAATGCATTGGGACTCGAAGTGTATGTCCAGCGCCGTGAGTGTCCACCATTTGGGACAACCACTGGTCAGCTTAACCACACCCGAAGCGAACATCAGACGGAATAACAGCCACCGAACCAACCAGAAAGTGAGGCCAGTGTGCGGTCCCGACTCGACCAGCAGTGGGAGGTTGAGTGGGGCCGTCAACGCCGTCAGTAGTCCCGTCTCCAGCAATAGAGTGTCCCATTGAAACCACATAAACGTTTGCCCAACCTTTGGATCAATTCACACCCAATTGGCGGTTATAACGGTATAGACAACACACAGACACACATCCGTTACCACACCTGATATATGGAGAAATAGAGCACAAATAGCAGCGAATAGCTCCAGAAGTCGCGGAACCGTTTGGTGATGAGCCCCAGGAATGAGATGACAATTCCCGAGAGAGCGACGATCTCCAGAGTGGACGCAAAGGAGAGCCCAATGGACGGACCCAACCATACGAGCGACGGAACCCGTTTGAACGCCTCCACTATAGCCGACGCCCCCCTCTTATCCATCTGCGCGAACGCACGCACCGGTAGTACCCCATCGTCGCCGTAAAGACCTGTTTGGTTGGACAACACATGCGATGACATCAATAGGTATGACAACCGCTGGACAACAGCTAAAGAAGTGATTCAATACCCGGTATTTGCGTATAAATGGACGTAAAGGCGAACAAATAAATGCCAGAAACGGCCCATAAGTAGTAATTGTGGACACGATTTATGCCGCAAACGTTGGATCCGCTCATCGTTTCGGTGATTATCCAAATGCAAAGACCAATCAATGGATCGCTTCCTCCGATTCAACGATGAATTGAAAGCACTGTTTGTTTCAAACAAATTGTTTGACTCGTGTTTCGCTGTAATTGGCGTTCAATTGAGTCAAACACTCAATACGTTTACATGTGTTGTATGTGTTGTGCAGTCAATACAACCCAACACTGTGTGCGCCCATCGTTACGGACACCCCTCGCACTCATCAATGTCTCATTCAATGGACTCGTCCGACGTTTAAACGCCCGCCAATGGCAGCACATTTGATGCCCACAATCGGCCAATCGTGACCTTCGTCTCAATGCCTGACCCACTCAGCGATTTATATTCACGTAATGTTCATATATAACGTACGCATATTGTGAGCGACGAAAAGTCTAGAATTGACTAGAAATGCGCCAAATATTGAACGCTTTCGTACGCAAAGCGAGTATTGCCCCCATATATAGGGCCGTCAAACGCCGCGTTTAATCGTCACGTCATTCACTGATGACTGCAATCGATGACACATTACGTCATTGTTTTGTTTGCAATGTTTTCATTAATTCAGTGAAACATTTCATTTGTGTTTCAATTGTTTGGATATTGTGTTGAGTTGTGTTGACTGAAGCCATGAATGTCTACCATTTCAGCGCATTTAACGATACGTTGGATCCGATTGACCACAAGAGTGTGGGAGCGGTGGTCACCGACAGCAACGACAACGAGGGAGAGGACAGTCGGGTAGGACTCGACAACTTAGGCAACACATGCTATTTGAATGCTGTCGTCCAGTGTCTCGCAAATACGGATTCGTTGCGACACTACTTCTCGTGTAAGACATCTCCAGATATACCGTTGAGTGGATCCCATATTTGATTCGCTTCTTTGCCTTCACTTCTTAAACAGCGTATGATTTTGAGGACGACTTAAACCGATCGAAGGGTTTGATTGCTTACCCATTGGCCCGACTTATCCGACAGCTGTGGACACCGAGTAGTGACGGCGCGAAGAGGTCTGTGCGGCCGACACACGTCCGGTCGTTGTGCGACCGCTGGTCGAGCCTATCGTGGGGTCAGAACGACGCGCACGAGTTCTGCACTTTTCTCTTGGATTCACTTCATAACGATTTGAATCGCAGTCGTCTGAAGCCGTCGGCCATCACTTCCAGCGCAGACGCAGACGACGATAATAATAACTCGACGGATGTGCACGCGTTGGCCAATACTTCTTGGAATGAGTTCAAGAGGTTTAACGACTCGATTGTCGTCGACCTGTTCTATGGCCAGTATATGTCGGCCATTGTCTGCTCTGTTTGTCCCAAAGTATGCATTAATTGTTATTTTGTGTCATTATTTGTGTTTAAAATTGATATAACATCTAAACTATTGTTTTGTCTTCTTTAGAGATCACTAAAATTCGATCCATTCGTCTATTTATCACTTCCCATACCATTGACTCATAAAGACATTAATCTTCGCGATTGTCTTGACTTATACTCAGCACCGGAAGTGCTCTCTCAGCAGAATTCTTGGTACGAATTGATAACATATGATAAACCATTGAATTATTAATAATTATTGAAAACAAACTAATGATATGATTAATCAAAACTGATAGGCATTGCCCTCAATGTCGGACGAGTCGTGAAGCGACAAAATATAGCCGTTTTTGGCGATTACCGCGAATTCTTATCATACAATTTAATCGTTTCTGTTTTGACACGAATTCGTGTCCCGAAAAGATCACATCATTTGTCGACTTCCCTCTCCATGACTTAGATCTGAGTTCGTATTCACTGTCCGGACAGCTCTCCTCTTATGATTTGTATGCTGTGGTCAACCATTACGGCGATGTGAATGGCGGCCATTACAAGGCTTACGCCAAAGACACCAATATTTTCAAAGGTTTAGGTAATCATTTTCGTCGATGTATTTGCTTTGAAATTAAATTTTATTTTAAAAAATAATCAAATCTAATGTCTTTGTTTGGTATCTATGGATAGGTTGGCGTTGTTTTGATGATAATCGTGTCGATGACATGAGACCCGACTCTGTTATCACCAGAAATGCTTACATTTTGTTTTACAAACGCAAAGATTACAATTCACACCTTTGATCACGTTTTCACTCATTTTAGTCAGTGTTTGGACAACTT